AAACGTTATTAATTAATCCTTCAATCTTTTCCGAATTCTGAAATTTTAATTAAGCCAAGGTTCGAGTGGGCTTATTTAAACGTATTTAAGGTTAAACCACATATAATTACGTCATCTATTGAGATCTAGTCTTTGATATGATTTGGTTGTATATAGGAGTAAGCTGTCCAATTACGAATACGATTTTAACGAACAAACCCGAATTAAAAAAATAAATAAAAACGTTTTCATCAATAGAAAACAATATTATGACAGTAATATGAGTGATATGATTTTAATTTTTACTAGAATTGATACTAGAGTTAGGGTTTATAATACGCATACAACGAATTAGATAAAATTCCACTATGAAAATTTTATATAAAATGATTAAATTTACAAAAAATAATAATTAAATCATACAACTTTCTTACAGTAATTTTTTTATATTATATATTTATATTATTGACTCTTTACATTTAATAAAAAATCCATTTATTAATATTACAAAGAATAATTTTAAAACTGCAGAGGGCAGCGTAGTAAATGAATGAAAGAACAATGAAATCAAATTAGTAACTACTCTAAAAGCTTTTAATGAAAATATATTATTCGAATCGACTGCAACATAACAGCAATGCCGTGCATAATGCTCTTAAAAATTGAAAAAGAAACCTTACTTAGCTGTAGCGAATTGTTTGGAAATGAATCATGTCCGAACTGAAAAGAGTATTATACTGTAAGAGTTCCCTGTAATTAACAACTTTTGTTCTATAACTTAACGCGAAAACCATGTTTAATTAACGATTTGGTTCCCGACTATATTATTGAATAGTATTTCTATTCGTTTATAAGAATAATTATCAAAATCTATTCAACATTGACGAAAATATAGCGTAACACAAACACAAGAAAAAAATATAGTCAAATTGAGAAGACCACCTATGTTGAAAGTCGGTTGAAAAAAAAACAACAACTAAAACTACCATTCGTTTTTTTTTCTTAGTTACAAATATAGTAGATCACAATCATAAAAAAATAGCTTATTTGGTATATCAAGGATATTGTATGATTAAAAAGTACTTTTACATTTTTTAACTGACTTAAAAAAAGGAGGAGGTTTTTATTTCGATTGTATTTTTTGTTTGGGACTTCATAACTCCGTCATTAATAAACCGATTTGAAAAAATCTTTTTTATCTATAAGGATAGACGTTCTGATTGGTCCCATAAAAAAGTATCTAAATCGATTTAGTAGTTTATTCTTTAAAGCAAAATAACTGCTTTTGCCACAACTGTATTCGTGTTTTTTTTTGTGGAACAAAATCTCAAATTATGGTATTTAGAATACGAATTGAGACATAGTGATTTCTCACAGAGTGAGATTTCTTATCAATCGAAAATTAAGAGTCGGGTTATTGAATTTTGTTTAGTCGATCTTCTTTCGGTTCAAAAAAACCTATAAAGATAAATTAATTATCAAGGGATTTAAAATTAATTAATTTTACAATTTGTTATTTAATTTTACTGCATTTTACTTCAGTGTTTTGTTCGCATTAAATGATAACATTTTATATGAATTGATGAATTTGACACAAAACTTTAGTTTCATTTTATTAATAAGAAAATAATTATAATTACTAGATTAAATACCCACGACGTATTCTGCAAAATTACTCGGTTTAATATTTTTTTTATGAAAGCATATTATATTTTAATATAAAACTGACTGCGCCATGGGTTAATTTTTAATGAATAATTTATTACATAAGTACAGGTGGACATGGTTGATCATTTCAAATACTTTATGTAAAACGTTGTTTCGTCTTAATTAGGCGTGCAAATCTTATTATGCGATGTTTAATAATTCATCGCGCAGAAATATTAATTACATATATCAATAGAAAATCAGAAAAAAATATCATACACAGTACCTATTTCAATTACAATATCAAAACCGTCAGCACTATGTAAAACTATTCATGCTGTAGGTTATATTAGGTCAGAAAACAGCAGCTAACCATATTTTTCTACGATGAAAATATTCAGTTTCGCTAGTAGAATACTCCCTTCAAAGTCGTTAACAACTTCAATTTTAGCTTATATATCCATATCGATTTCTAATTAACTTCGTCCGACTAGTGCTCAAAAAATAATTTAATTCAAAAAAACAGAATGTGATTGTTATTACGCCAACTCTCAAAGATCTTTTCATAAATAGGGCTACCCAATTGCCACAGATTTTCTAATCACATCGCAACATCAGAGAAATTTGATGAAGTCTATTCAGTTGTCTTGTGATAACGTACAAAACGGAAATAAATTTTATGATTACTGATTTTTATTTTTAAATTTACTACTATATAGGCTTCTCAGCCGAAAATAACTGCACATAGATTTTATTGAAATATTTTTTTTTAAGGTACGACTACAAAGTGTGACTCATATTTATTTATAAAAATTATACGGTTTCGCTTCCTAGAATACTTCCTAAAAAGGATAGTAATGATTTTGAGACAATTATAAAAGTTTTGAAAAATTACAATTTTGCAAAGTCAGTACACAGATGTTTTATTTGAAGACGCTAGAAGTAAACAGCGAAAATCGTTTTGTATTTTTATAATTAATGTATATCATAAGTGTTTAGTGAATATTTACGAAATACAAATTGAAACTGCGCAAAAAAGATCTTAAATTTTGTGTATATAATATTTTATCGTTAAAAATAATAAATATTTACCGTCTGTGTATTTTATGACATAAATATTTATTGACAAAAAGTATTATTTATAAACTGTGTGGCCACGGCATAGAATGGGCCACTCCTTCCTTTCCCGTGTGTGTCGCAAGAGGTGACTTAGGGAACTTAATAACCGAAATTGGACAGCAGCGACCCTCTTAAAATACCAAAGCCTAACTGCAGGTGCCAACCTGCCTGCCAAACGCAGCAACTACTGGCAAAACCCCTTTTATGGGGGAGGCCTATGTTCAGCAATGGATGGTTAACAGCTGAAATAATGATTATTTTTTCTATGAATATGATATATATATGAAAACTACGAATGCAAAGTAACGGTCAAAAAATAGTTTTAAATTAATTTAAAAATACTTATACTTAAAATTTTAATAAACAAATATTTATAATTTAAAATTTAATAGTTATATTATACTATTATAATAGCGATAAAAAAATAAACATTTTTAGTTTTAATGGAATCGGTATATTTCAATTAGGATATTGCAATTTGTCAACCGAATATAAAGTTAATCATTTTACTCATTGTAAACTACGCCCTGGCTAAATTAAAATATATCTTATGTGTCAATCTAGAATTTTGTCTATGTATAAATTTAAATCAAATACGTTCAGCCGTAAGCGTGATCAAGTAGAGAACGACCATATCTTCATATCTTTATAAAATATATTTCTAAAGTTTATTCAAGTATTATTATTATTATAATATTTGATATCAGTCGATTTGCACTGTTAGATCATTTTGTTTATTCTATTGTTTCATTAAAACATGAGAATTATTATACTCTATTACTATTTATTAAAAGACGGGCTTTTTCAGGCAGAAAAACCTATAATAACCTTTCCATGATCTTTTGTGCTCGACCTTTTTTAAAATTCGCTACTAATTCCTATTATAGGAATTTTAAAATGTTATTTGTAGCAATGTTTTGTATCTCCTCAGGGTATAAAGTGTACTTTCCAAATGTGATATATCATTTATGTATGAGTGAACTACAACTATAAATTAAATGCTGCTGTATTTTGCCCTCATTGTGAAACAATCGGCAAACACTTTTTGGACATAAACCTAATTGGGCCATGTGCTTGTTTAGTTTGCAGCCTCCCGTGAGAGCCCTTGTTAATACATACCAAGTATACCAAGTATACTTGCTGCTTCTAAGCTTTCAAGTTCGAGATGTCTGAGCTTTAAGCTTGGAGGTATGCCACAATAAGGCTCTGGTCCTATTTGGGCATTCTTTGCCCCTTTTTTTGCTAATTGATCAGATGTTTAACTTCCATGAATATATGCGTGACCAGGAATCCGTAATCAGGAATGTTATTTCTACTGTCCAAGTCATTTAATAACATTAAGAAGTTGTTTTTAGTTTTTGATTTATTCCCGTGTAAGTCAAGTGCTTGACTATCCGAGTAAATAAATATATTATTATTAATATAGTTAAAATTTAGAATTAGTTCTTAATACTTTATTATGGCTCTAGTTTCTGCCTCAAAGAGACATACTTGCCTAAGTTTAAAGAGCTGTGTGTGTGCTTTGGATTCATCTAGGTCATATTCCGATGACTACTACTATAACAAATGCAAAGTTTGTGAAGATATATGGATGGATGTTTAATACTCTTTCGTGCAAAAACTACTGAATAGATTTTAAATAAAATTTTGTACACAGGTTATATCCTAATTCACACGCAAGATTTAGTTACGTCCATACTTTATATAGTGATTATAATATCAAACGGAAAATCCGAAAAGTTTAAGTTTAAAATAAAAGCATGGTTTGACAATTCTGTATCAGACAGAACACATATTCTGGAATACAATTCATGTATTTTTCATAAGTGAGATTTTTGTTGAAAATTCTCATTAGAACAAATAATAATGATTTTGAATAAAATAAATAAAAATAAATACATAAAATTATAAACTTAACACATGTCGCTATTTTTAGTCATTACACAAGGATAATTTTGATGATTGAAAATAAAAGTATAATTAGTAAATGATCGATTGAACATAAAAACAAAAGGTATATATATTGAAAACGCAAGGTGATGACAAAAAATATCGCCATAGCTCAAAAAAGACATGTTTAAATTAGTAGTAATGTCAAATTAGGATTTCAAAGTAAATAATTAAAGAAAACAATGATTTAATAGCGAAATGTGAGAGAAAAAAGTAGGCACATTATAATGAAAACGATGTATAAATTCGCTGCCATTGTAACAATAGGAAAAACTTTTTCTCTCACGTCGCGTTCTGTTACCTACCTGTGTAAGTCGGGCGATCAGCTGTACAGGCCCCCCGCTTGCCTCCGCCGCGCACCGTATTGCGAGCTGTCAAATGTATCATCTATCAAATGTTTTATACCATTCTAAATTAAAACGCCAGCGTCTTATACTTCTATATCATGTTCGTTTAGCATAAATAAAGTCACAATTTTGTTGGAAATAGCAACCCAATAACTTTAAAGAGAGAAGTTTCGTTACAATAATGTTACAGGTTGCCATTTCCATTACACACATTAAATAATTACATAACAGTTTAAAACAAATCGCATCTGCAACGAAAATGATTCGCTTGGAAAAACCGTCAATTTTAAACATTCTTAAATCTATATATAATAATTTATGTAAACTTATTATAAAATATGAAAAACAAATATATTTACCTGAACACTGGATTAAAAATTTCAAGACATCAATCAGCATTAACGCCTACGGTTGTTTAGTCAGCCATAATCTCAATCCACAGAAATTCTGTAACAAGAGAGAATATTTTTTGAGTCACAAAATACAATACACGTGCTTAGGTATTAATTACATCTAATTATTGGTTATAAGCACATAATAATTGCACAGCACAATACACGTTATAAATATAACATAGAATATATATAAAATTCGCTTAGAGCATAACACAAACTTTTCACTTATTTAAATTTAATTTAAATTCATAAAACTTACCGATGTTGTCTCACAATTCATGTCATGTTGCCGAAGGCCAAGCTATCTATCACCAACGCCATCTCTACCTGTCGAAGAAGCAAACGTAACATTTAAATTATTTTCTGAAAATATCTTTAAGGCAGGTATTGAGATCTTCTAATTTGCATTTAAATTAGTAACGTGGCATATTGCAACGCTTTGAGTGTCGTCACGTCAGCCATACGTGGCGTTGCGGGTAAAGTGTGCCGCGTCTGTTTATAGTTACCAAGGAGCGACCTGGAAGGCTCGCATCCCTGACATCTAGTTCGCGCAGGCGCAAGCTAAAGCCCACTCTTATGGTAATTTCACTCGACTTAAATGTATTTTAATTAAACTACTTCTATAACCTTTTTAAATAATATTAATCATTTTAATCCAGTATAATATTGCCAACTTCTTTACTAATTGTCCAACCTCTAAAAATATAGAAAACCTGTCAATTAATATATCCAATGTTTTAATTAAAAATAATGTATACTAAAATCGAGGCAATATTAATTAAAAGCATGAAGACTCTTAATAAAAAATATTCTATAATAAAAACACAACATGATCGAAAAATTTAATCCTAACAATTCAATTGCATTAACAAAATAAAATAATTATTGTATACCTATATATCTATACTGCAGTCAGGCAGCAAACGACACTTTATTGTGTTGTAAAGGGGAGCATCAAATGAGTCTTGACTTTTATTGACAACTAGGTACTTTATATACGGCGCAACCTGAGCAATTAATGACTACACCTATATTGATTTACTCCCAACACAAAGGTGTAATGTTAAGATTATAACTAGGTTAAACGTCTTTAGGAACTACATTTTATGACAAAAATTATAAATTACTTCAGAATGTCGCCAATAGAAATAAACATGCATTTCTATTTTTTATTACACTTCACTATTAGTTGAACAAATTTGACCAAATATTCATACACACTTTTCACCTTCATGGCCTCTTTAGATGTAGTAAAATAAAAATAACCTGAACGAATATTATGTTTATAGTTTCAGATAGACATTAAGGAAACAGTAAGGAAAACTTTAATATAAATATCTTTAGCAACCACTCACCCACTTCACACAGATGCAAAACAAATCTTACGTAAAAAATATCTAATATACCCGTATCAAAATCTATGTGTGTTTTAGAAAAAATATACGAAGAGTGATTTTGTTGTATATATGTTAAGAAAAAATATAATCACGATTGTGTTTCACAAAAAAAACCGACTTTAATTGTGACAAATCCAGTTATTTTAATTTAAAAACAGATGCAAAACAAACCCTAAGTAAAAAAAAAAAATATCTAAAAGACCCGTATCAAAATCTGTGTGTTTTACAAAAAAATATACGGAGAGTGATTATGTTGTATATACGGTAAGAAAAAAATATAATCACGATTGTGTTTAAAAAGAAAACCGACATAAATTGTGACAAAACCAGTTATTTTAATTTAAAAACTAAACTATTGAACCGATTTTGACAAAATTGTTATGAGACTAATCTGTAAGTGTACCCCTTCATATTCACAATTGATTTACAAGTGACAGAATTATGACGTAATAAATATAAAATACAACCAAATTAAGAACGTCCTTCTTTTTGAAGGTAACGTGCGACTTAAATTACATTTCTTCGGCTATTGCGAACCTTGTGAGATAAAATTAAATAAAATTGCAGATTTTTACAAAATGTGTCAACGTATTTAAACTAAATAGCATGTATTGTTATACTGTATAACCATTCAATCTATTGACGTTATACTTGATAAGTTTCTTAATGACTATTACAGTAATGAACGTTGTGGTATAACTCAACTCTTGACGTCATTATGCTGTAATTAGTTAATAAGTATAATATTCATGCAACGTGTGTAATAATTAACGGACAATCTATAATTAGTTATAGTTACAAATAAGTAGGCATCCAGCAATTGTTTGTACATTAATTGCACTGTTGTTTATATTATTTACACTTGAATGGCTTTATTCTTTGCATAGATTAAGATTAGGTGGCCGAAATGTTAAATTATTCAAAGTAGATACGCAATTTTGCCACTTTACATAAACCTCTAATAATAAAAACACAAGTCATTTGCATTCATAAGCCTCCATAAAGAGGTGCATTTATAGTCTACTGCGCAGACATTTATTCAAGTATTATACTATTGTACTGTGACAGTATATGTAAATAAAAAAAAATAATTGTTGAATTTATCTTTTTAACTAAACGTTTTCGTTATCAGCCTTTGGCCCCACATGTAACGACTATCTTTCTATATTATATTGAGTACGATTAATCGTTTGATTTGAAACATTGAACCACGGTTCAATACGAATGCTACGATAATCACTCTGTGTAAGCAGAGCTTTTTGTATTTATTAAACTTATTTTATTTTGTTATTTTACAAACAAGGTACAAAGACTCGAACCCAACGTCCTTTTGCCACTACTTATAAGAAAGTTGTACTGAATAATAACAGTGGTTAAAAAAAGGGACATCAATAACAACAAAAAAAAACAACCTCATCCTTTTTTGAAGTCGGTTACAATAATATGGAACCATCCTAAAGATAAGTTGCCGTGAGTCCTGGCATAGAATGGACTACCTTCCTTTCGCGTGGATGTCACAAAAGGCGAGTAAGGGAATGATCGTTAGATGGGCAGCAGCGTCTCTTTTAAAATATCAACAAAACCTTACTGCAGTTGCTAACCCACATGCCAAGCGTGTCTACAAATGGCAGAATCCCCTTTACAGGGGAGACCTATGTTCAGATGTGGAAAATTATCGGTTGATACGAGAATTCTAAAAGTAAATCTAATATAAAAAATTATTTAAAAAATAATCATTACATCATTCATCAATCATTCATAATCGATGATGATGGCTTATGTATTCCTTATTCTTACTAAAGTACAAATGTCAAAACGTGTAGAATTTTGCATATACATACGCAGCGTTACTTATCAGTTTGAAATTCATCCGTGATTACATGACATCATCTATAAAAAAATTGTCGATAAGATTTAGTGACAAAACAGAACTTAAACAAAAACCAGGCACAGACATGAAGCCCGACACTATAGACGCTTTTGTATGCAAAACTGACATTACACAGCCTCGCCTTGTATAAAAACATTATGTTTTTCTAGTTATTTACCGGTATCTACGCGTGATACCCGTTATCTTTCGTTCCCGTGGGAATTTCAGGTAATCCTTTCTAAATGTATAACTATATCATAAAAAATTATAAAACTGCCTGTTTCAGTTTAAGATTGTGCCATGACAATAAATCAATCAGAACCTTTTTATTTATATGTAGGATATTCTTGCTGGAATTGTTTTTGCAATATCTATAATTTGAATATCTATGAATCGTACCTTGACAAATCGCCAGGATTTCTGGCTATTTAATAAAAAAATCAACTAAATATGAATTTAAATCAATAAATCGAATTTATAAATTTAAGTCATTAAATAACTTCACAATTAATACCACTAAAAATATTAAATTATCCTAGTTAACTTGATTGCCGTTATCAAACACATAAAAAACATGAAACTAGACTAATTCTTCATTATATCTCTAAATGAAATTAACAAACATACATCAGATGATTATATATATATATATATATATATATATATATATATATATATATATATATATATATATATATATATATATATATATATCATCTGATGTATGTTTGTTAATTTCATTTAGAGATATAATGAAGAATTAGTCTCGTAATATAAATCTACAAAAAAATAATATACTTAATAGAAAATTAGTTACATTCTTGTCAAACGTTTACCACACCAGGAGGCCTTCAGTGTCCGTTAATGAAGCAAGGATCGTAAAGGCAGTCCTTCTAATAGTAATAAGGTTAAAACTTCGTGATATCGTTCGCGAATATCGGAAAAGCCTGTTGTACCTATTTAGAAATCGATCGTATAGCGCATGCGTGGTTGCTGCGTTCACAACTCGTGGAGCTCGTGGAACCCGCCCTTCACAAATGGACTTAAACGAATTTACGTCTTACCCACCCCTACATAGAAACCATTTTGCAATTTTTCCCCTCCTATGAATCTTGTTGCGTAGTTTAACACGTGAATCTGAATCCACTAGGAATCATATAGAAATGAAATAAATATATTATCTAAACAATAATACTGTATATATATATGGAAACTAATTACCTTATATTCCACCAATATTACATATTTTTTTGTATTCCACTATTTCTTTTTGTTATAACTATTAAAGTATTTTGTTACTAAACAAGGCTCCACTAAGATGAATAATAATTTAATAAAAAAATACTTAATGTAGGTACTAATATTGTTTACTGATTTACTAATGTAAAATTTCTCACATATTTGCACTATGGAGTCAAGTACTTTTAGCGCTTCACATTTTTAATTTCAACATACTCAATATGTTGAATGTAAAATAATCCTACTATACATATGCGTAGTATTATTATACGAGGTTTGTCCGGAAAGTACGTATAAAAGTTTTTTTAAAATTTTATTTTACAATTATTCAGGTAAATCAATTTTATCCCCTTCAAAGTACTCCCCCTGTGACATAATGCACTTGTGCCAACGCCGTTTCCACTGTGAGAAGGCTCCTTGAAAGTCCTCTGGTTGTAGGTTTCTCAGCTGCCCCGTCGTAGCTTTTTTTATCTCATTTATATCCCCCAAATGCCGCCCCCGAAGTACCAATTTGGTTTTTGGGAACAAGAAGAAGTCACACGGGGCCAAATCCGGCGAATAGGGGGGGTGTTCGGTCACCGTAATGGAATTTTTACTCAAAAACTCACGGACAACAAGAGAGGTGTGGGCAGGGGCATTGTCGTGGTGAAGAATCCAACGCCCCTCTCGCGCCAATTCTGGACGAACTCGTGCCACACGACTGTCTGACCGTTAAACGACGGTCCCCATTAACACAAGTTCGAATTCTTTCCACGTTTTCGTCGGAATGTGAAGTGGAAGGACGTCCTGAACGTGGGTCATCTTGAACGCTTTCTCGGCCC